GCGGGGGGGGGGGGGGGGGGGGAGGGGCGGGACAATCACTGCTCTCTTCCTGCTGTCTGCACTGCTTCTGACAGAAGCTAGGATGCCATTGACTTCTTGGCCACTTGGGCACGATGCTGTCCATCAACCAGCACTCCCAGGGCCATTTCTTTTGTAGCTCTCCAGCCCCTCTTCCCCCAGCCTATAGCACAGCATGGGGTGGGTGTGCCCAAAATGCAGGACCCAGTATCTTTTCTTCAGCTACATCATACTGGGTGGACTTGACCCATCAATTACACCTGCCCAGATCCCTGAGTAGAACCTTCCTGCCCTCAGGCTGATCAACGCTCCTGCCTTACTCATTTTCATTTAGATTTAACTCCGTTCTATGACTTTCACTTCAAACCCTCTCCCCATGTGCCAGGATGTACGTGTGGATTTTGCTAACCTGTAAGGTCAGACTGTCAAGATAGGATCTCTACACCCAAGAAATGCCCTCTTGCTCTAGGGCCTTCCATGGCACTGGTAGCATGACTGAGAGCCCTTCCTTGGCCTTCGCCTTTAGCAAGGTCCCAGTTTGGGCAAACCCTGAATTCCCTACAAGGTCAAAACCAAATGAAGGCACATGGGGAGAGGGCTTGCTAGGTCAATGTGTGCTGGGCTGCTTCTGTTGTGTTTGAATTTTGGATACCTTTGATTGGCACTTTCCTAGAGGGAATCATTAATCCTACACTGAACTCTCTCTTTAAGGGTTTTTATTACTCACAGTTGCTATCCACCTGCCTCCCAGGAAAATAGCAGCAGCAGCAAAGTCTGTCTCTGGGGGCATGCATAAAGTGCTGGGCAGTGTCCTCTTCTCTGTGTATGTTCAGGATGGGGCAAGGAAATTAACCTTAATATGCATTTCCCTCTCAAGAAGACTGTTCCTTTTTAAGATGTCTTTGCCTGTTTTAATCAACTTCAGTTTGGCAGAAGAAAGAAATATCAGCCCTGACATCATTTTGATCCCTGACATCATTTTGATCTCATGGCAAGGAGTTCGGGAAACACAGTCAGGTGTTCCTGTATTAAGTGCAGTGGAAATATTCCTATAGGATATGAACTGAAACAGAAAAAAACCCCAAAGAACCGTATCCTGCTTTTGCAATACCTGGCCAACAGAGTTAAATAATTTTTTAACTACATAGTTGGTTCCTGGAAAAACACTTGAAAACAGGGCCCAGCTCAAGGAAATCAGTACCTTTAAGAGTTATTAAATAGACAGCAATTAGAGTAAATTACAAGTGTTTTTCCTGGGTAATTGTCCTGATTTAGGGCAAATCTGGGAGAAAACCTCCAAATGGGGTCCCTCCAGAAAGCAAATTCAAGCAGCCCCTCTCCCAGCTGGTTCAGGAAAATATTTCCTTAGAGAAAAATGGAAAAATCCTGTTTATTTAACAGAAATTGAATAATATTAAACAATAAAACCTCTTGCTGTTCAAAGAGATGGCACATCCAGAAGAATCCTTTTCATGTAGTGTAGCTGGGCTCGCTCAGGTTCTTATCGCTGGAAAGTGCTAAGGCTCAGGCCCCAGTGGGCCACAGGGGTGAGCTCCTGGTGTTTTTCTGGGTTTTCAGTCCAGAGCAGGTTTGAACAGATCCAAGGAAAAAGGAGAAAAAAACAGTCCAGAGAACCTCTTTGCCTCAGCTAGCTAAAAACTAACTAAAAGCAAAGGAGAGAGCTCTGTCCTGCTGTCTGTCTGTGCTGCAGACAACACAGTCCATGAGCGGGATGAGGGGCAGTGAGTGCTCTTTCTCAACACAAACTGTGGCTTATTCTTCCCCCTCTTCGCTCTCAGAGCCAGACTTAAAGGTGCAGAACTTAATATATAACAAAAACCAGGCAATTTGGGATACAAGCAACACAGTCACCCCATGACAGTAATAAAGTTCAAAATTCTTGCAGCTGAATCTTCTCTCTCCTTCAGCTTTAAGAAGGCAAAGTGGCAGAGCATCTTCCAGCTGAAGGAAGACATTTGTGGAAAAGCAATAACACAATACTCTTGCCCTACGACTATGCACAGGTCTAAAAAAGCCAATTGTTGTCAAGCCACCTTTTGCTGACCCAAACCACAAATTGATGGCAAAATCTTAGGACAGGCAACAGCATTTTAGGAGTTTTACAGAGCTGAAAGAACACAGAAGCAGCCAGTGTGGGCCAGCCCTGTCCTACACTTGTGGTGACACACTCAGCTGAAGCCATAGGCTGTCCGCTTCCTGATGCCATGTCAGCATTGCTACCGGCCAGGGTTCACCCACCTGAAGGATGAATACCAGACAAGAACAGCTTGGGTTTCTGTAGTCTCACCAAGACCCTTCCATGCATGGCTCCAGGGCTCAACACCAGCACCTGAACTTCACCCTATGCCCAATAAGGAGAGCAACACAACTGAGTCCTTCCATCAAATTATTTTATGTAGCATTACACAAGGATTACCACTTAAAAATAAAGGCAGGAAGTCTCAGGGAGTCCTCATGTCTTCTCAACATGTTCTAGCACCTATATTGGCATGTTATTATCAGCCAGGATGAGAGCAGAGGGACAGAACCCTTCGTTCCAGTGACACCAGAGCACCTGGGGTTAAAAGACTTGGAGGGAGGGATGATTCTTTCTTTAAAATACTGACAGAGGCATGAAGAAGGCACCTGCTTCTCTTCAGCTCTGCATAAGCTCCAGAAGTTCACAAGAGCAGCAGTGCCAGAGATGCCTCTTACACATTCCCACTTTTTTCTCTTCCCCTGCCCCAGCCTCCCAAGAGCACCAGAGAGAGAAAGGACAAGGC